CCTGACTATTCTGCTTCAAGCAATGGGCAAACATCAGCCCGTTTCCTGGCTTTCCAGAGCGGTGTCGGCTCTCAGCCCCTGTGCCAGCCTCCTGCTCCGTGTGCCAGGGTCGACAGGTCCCTGTCCGATGAACGCCCTGCATCCCGGCTGCCGTAGGCGCCGCCTGCTGCCCTGCCGCCGGCCGGTGTGCCACAGGGGTCCTGGGCTCAGTCAGTCCTCCTACCGTGTGTCCTCAAGCGCGTTTGCAGTGAGTTTTTGCAGAGAAAAGGGTGTTTTTGCAGAGAAAAGGGTTTTTTTCCAGCCACGATGTTTGGGTCCGCAGGTTGCAGAGAAAGTACTTTTGAGACAAGAACCCGTGGTAATTTGTCACTGCCTGCCTGTGTAATGAAGAATTAAACTCTCAGCGAATGATGCCGCTACTGAATCAGGACTAGTGTAAGGGGTAATTTATCTGTGGAGCACTCAAGCCTGCCGGTGGCTTTCTCGACACTGGATATGCTGTGGAATCTGACTTAGTTAATTATTCTGCCTGGAGAGGCGTTTTATTTTGGTATCAGTAAATTCACTTGTACAAGTCCGCTGAGGAAAAACTGGACGGAGGGACAGTTCAGCCTGCAAGTGACATTGCTGTTCTGAGGGCAGAGCTGGCCACCTTGGTTACACAATAGCTGCTGCTCACAACCAGCTCGCTGTGTTGTTGCTGCTGATGGGAAGCGTCTCGTGCCCTTGACCTCGTTTCCTAATCGCTTGGGTGTCCTGCAGCCGTCCACCCCCTGGCTACCAGTGCTATTAAACAGTTCTTCCCCTTCCTGTTGCTCATCCCCTCAAGGCCTCTCCGCCGCAGCAGATGATATTCTTCGTAGTACATCATGCACATCATGAGTTGTATTTGAAGAGAAGAAGCATTTGGCTGCTTCATCAGAGTTTCTACTGTGAATGTTGAAAAGCAGGTACCTCTAGTATTTTGCATTTAAGGTAACTCAGAATGTTTTTTCGCTGACTAAAGGTTTATTAAAAATATTAGGAAGTCAGGGAGGTAGGCATTACGTTAATCTCCAGGCTCCTGAGGTGGCGGGAGGAATCCTGACCCTGCCCATAGCGGTGCAGGAGCTGATGGCTTTGCTGCGCGCACGGCCGAGTACGATACAGCTGGGCTCCTGGGGAAGTTCATGTCGGAATAAAGAATTTTCCAGGCTGTGGAGTAGTGCTCCTTCCTGGCTGTTGTATTTTGATCTTCCCAGAGGGGAGAATGAATGGGCATGTGTCCTTTGTAACCTAGTACAGGTTGGAGTTGAACCCGCTGAGGTTTTCAGTAATTTTCTGTGTGAGGAAAAGTTTGCAATACAGAGATCACCCCTGTTTTTTGCAATCCTGTAAGCCCCGTGAAATCAGTCCCAGTATTTAATCTGAGAAAAACCAAGTCGTTTTTTATCGAATAACTGCTAGCATTGGGAAATAGCGCACTTGAAGGTTGTGGTGATGACCTGCTTCTCTGCACCGAGGACAGGTTTATGGGATGCAGCTTCTGCTTTGCCAGTGCTGCTAGCCATCTCAGGTCTGTGCTCTGGCTGTGCTTCGCTGGTCACCTGTGCTTAAAACCAACATCGCAGCAAGTAAATCTAGTCTGGATGGATAATGGTCTCTGCACGTAACTACACCTTGACTATGGCTTCCTCTCTTTGCTTCTCTTTTAACCGTATCACTGCAGCATCAGAAGCATTAAACCAGGCACAGATGTGTCCGTGTGTGCAAGCTCCAAGCACGTGCTTATCTTCCCGTGTTGCTGTCCTGGGTATGGCATCGGTAAGGTGTTCACGCGGTAGTTGGGCAGGAGTTCAGAGATGCCGCTTGCAGAGTTAGTGCGAATCTGGAAAAGCATCCATGTGCGGCTTCCTCTCTGCCCACTCAATTTCTGTAATTTCCTGTGGGCACCTCGAAATAGTGCTTTAAAAAAAATTAAAAATCCCAAGTAGAAGTGTCTTCCTCGTGGTTCTGCTAAATACTTTATGGTGGGTGATCATCTGAATACGGGCGCCGTTTCAGTGGGAGCTGCAGCCAGCCAGTACTACACAGCGCGCTGGATACGCTTCAGTTTAATGGTTAAACTGCGCACTTAGTTTGTTTACTGTAGTATCCTGGTGTTTATATATCTCTTAAGAATATCTCAGAGTCTGCTGTTCAGCTGCTGCATACTGGAAAGGAACTTTAAAGTATTAAAGCTAGAATAACCCAGTTCTAAAACGAATCCAGAAATTTTGTAGAAATGCGTACTGGCTTGGAGGCTGTTGTATTCGTTGAGGTGTAGCTTGACCTTGAACCACTGATAATGTTTCTGCTGAGCAGTAATGCTAACGACCTTGCAAATTTAGAACATACTGATGTTGCTGGGACTTTTCAACTAAAAAAAAAAAATTACTTTTTCAAAAAGGTAGGAAATATCATTGTCCTTTAATTTGGTTAGGAATTGATTTTTAACCTAGAGATGGGGGGGGAGAAGGCTTCTGAAGCTGGATGATGTCCGTGTAGGAACTTGTACAAAGTAGAAGACGATTTAAAGCTGCTAACAGCTGTTTAGCTGCTGCAGCTTGATACAGAAATAGCATTCGTGGTGAACAGTACCGGTATGAATGATGGTAAGGTCATTAACACTTGGCTTTGTGGTTGAAGTGCAGCGTGGTCATTGACGGTCTTTGAGTGCCAGTGCAATGCTACAGCTAATTTTCTAATCTGCTCGTAGTTTTACCTATTAATAAAAAAAAAAAAAGCCCTAACTTTAGCTGCTCGGGACCAGCCATGCATGCTTCCAGTTGAATAGTAACATCGCTCTCTTTATGATCGGTTATCCTCCGTGTTGAAGGTAGAGCACTGAAGTGTGTGGCACATCCCAGGGCAGAAGCTGACTTCCCTTCTCTGAAAATTAGAGGTACATCAGCATCTCTGTTAGGAATCTTTATCTTCTGTTAAAAATAGCATGCAAGACTGCTAAAGCATTGGCTGATATCTTGGCTGGCTTGCTTTAGACATTGGAGTCCATTGTTTTTTCGGTGCTATCTTTGCGTAGGTTCTAGAACATAAAAAGGGAAAGCATCTTAAAAAGGATAATTTGGCATGGTCAGAACTGAAAGTGGGGCTGTATTTCATAGAGGTATAGTATTCCAATCAAATACAATAAAACCGTAATTTAACTTGGAAGACTACAAAAGCATGCATGCTAAAGTGAATACAGTTTTTAATGCTTGATTTTTTGAAATTGGACATTGGTTTTGATGACTTCTATTTTATGCCTGCTGTGCATTAAGCAATATTAAATAGACTGGGCTTCTGAAATAGAAACATGATGGGAAATAAAGTAGTCTCTTGAAATATTCACATATGGATTATAATGTCTTTGTAGTTGAACAGAGCGTAGGTTTAAGGACGGGAAAGGTGTGAACTTCATAGTTCATGCTTACGTATAGCTGCAAGTACTGGTTAGACCTTTGAAGTCACCACTGTGCTCTTACCGGTTAGGATGCATTTTGATTTGGAGATGATCCAATTTCTGTGTGTTCCTGGGTTTATTCTGAAATGGACTTTGAAGTGATACCCGTGGAAAGCATGGAGGTTCAGATGGAAAGAAAAAAAAGAGTAGGTGGATAGGTAAGGAAGATACGCTTTCCTTCTTGAGGAGTGAGAAGTTTTGTAGCTCTCAAACACTTGTCCAAGGGTGATTATCTTACTAGTAAGTTCCTTTGAACCAAACCCTTTCGCTCCTTACATCTATGAAGTGTTGTGTTTTGTAGATGGAGAAAAGCCTTCTGGAGCCTGTCTTGGAGAGCACGTCACTACTGGGCGGCAAAGAACCAGTAGCTAGACCAAGTACAGGGCTTTCCCAAGAGGGTCTACAACTGTGACCTTTCTTACCTTGTTTTTTAACCATTTTTCAGTGGACTAAATTGGGGGACATACTACTGTATTGTCTCTCACGCTTAAATAAAAAGCTTAGAATAATGTTTTGAATAGCTGTGTTTTGGGCTTTTTAGATGATCTAGCGGGACCACCACCTTTCTGGTGTGCTTTTTCTATCATGTAAAAAATACAGACGAGTGCCTGGCTTGTTTGTGAGCAAGCTACTAGCTTATTTTACTTTCAGTGCAAGGGTATTGAAGTCTACATGTATGTGAATAGACTTAAGAGGTCGCTGTAGTGGTGTTTGGCTGGGGATAAAGAGGAAAATTAATCTGAGGAAACGAACAATCTAAAAAAATCAGATGCAAAATCTGATTGGAAAAAAAAATTACTCAACTGAAAGTGTGCTTGCATGTGGTCTTACTGTTTATTGATCTCTTTATTAAGGTTACTTTGAGTCCTTGACAACTGCCTTAGGCTGCTGTGGGCTGTACCAGCATGAGGATGCTTTTAGGGATGGTTCGGTCTGTACTGTCCCTTCTCATGTGGGTGCTTTTGAAATGAAAACATCATCGTGCCCGGCCCAAGGAAAACACGGGAAAAAATTGTAGCAAACCTGCCAATTGAGCTGTAGTCTAGGACTCAAAATTTTCATCCTGAATTAAAACAAAATCCGCCTTGGGTGTCATGTGCAAAGGTGCTTGCATCATAGCACTGCTGAGCCTAGGGCTGGGTGCTGGAGGCCACCACTGCAGCCTTTGCTCTCTGTTGCCACCTTGGGGTGACGGCTGACAGAGGTTTCTGGGTGGGCGAGGAGAGTGGTGCTACAAATGCATTTGGTAACGGGTTTTAAAGTACAGTGGGTGGTTCTGTTGACAGTCGCTTCTATATTCAAAATATACTTCATTTAATTCTGCTTTTCGTGGTAATTCGGGGATTGGAATAACTTGGGTCTTGCCAAATTTATTAGACGGTGTACTAAAGGGAATATCTATTCAGAAGCCTTTCGAAAGGCGGAGTAAGTATATATAGGTCCGTGGGGTTTTTTCTTTTTCTTTTTTAAAGAGGAGAAAGTGATACTGAAACTTACTTTTCTTCCCTCTTATTGGCAGGTTTTCTTCATCAGTGGAGTGTGAGAAATAGAGACTGAAGATGAGTGAGCTGGAACAGTTACGGCAGGAGGCAGAGCAGCTGCGAAATCAAATCAGAGTAAGAATTGCTAATTGCTTATTTTTCATGATAAAGTTCCTCCTTTAAAGGAATGAAATGTAAAGATCGCATCTGTTACTTGCTCCTGTTTAAATCGTGCAAAGCTTAAAATATTTTCAGAATATTTGTTTAAAAATCAGAAAAGTCAACCATTGGTATAATGAAATGCACCCATAATATTTCTTGAACAAAATGTTTTGTTTGCTGTGTTTTGTAACTAGGGGGGGGGTGTATGACTCTGCAAATTCTTTATTTTGGATTTTAAAAAAAAAAAAAAGAGCAGCAAACTTGTAGAACTGAGGCACGAGTTGGGGTTAGGGCTTGTAGAAACGACATCTACCCCGGAAGGCTCTCTCTCACACTCCATGCTTGTCCAGAGTGGCAGTGCAGTGGTTACTTTTAGCCCAGGAACAAGCTTTTCTAATAGCCTTATTTCTTTGTCTCCTGTTGAATTTATTTTTTTGAAAGTGTGGATCCCCCCATATGTGCTAACTTTTTGTTGAAATTACTCATTGAAGATGAACAAGTATGAGCTGTCATGCCCGAAGTCAGTTTACCAGGAATCTGTTGCGACATGCCCGTGTATTTCAGTGATGCAGTTTTCAGTAGAGAGAAGAGTACAGAGTATAACAAGGATCTTCAGAGTCTGTTTATTCTTCATCAAAATTTCCTTTTCCTAAACATGAGGCATTCATAAATCTGATTTATATGGGAATGCCTTATTTGCAAACATTCCTATCGGCTAAGACTGCAGGCTTCTCGGAATATGTTGCGTTGCACACTGACTTTTTTAGCGTGGCATCTGCTGGCAGCAGTTGTTTTGTGGGGCTCTGCTGCTTGGTGCTGCGGACGTTAGGCTGCTCGTTAGCATCAGCCGTGGGGTCAACGCACTTCATGTGTTAGCAGTTGTGTTGGGGGCAAACCTTGCCTCCGTGACTGCTCGTTCAGTATCATCCAAGGGGAGCTCTGCGTCCTGTCGTGCTCGCTTCGTACGCTGACGAAACACAAGGTGGGGATCAGTCAGTGTTGTGGCACTGGGTACCCCTTCTCGCAGCTCGGTAGAAGAATGCAAATAAATTTTAGTTTAAAGTACTTTTTCTTAAATTTAAGCTTTATTAGAGCATTGCACAAATAAAAGGTATACGTAATTTTTCAGTTCTTCCTCTGCCCCATGTGTAAAGGCTTTCTCATTTACATTATGCTGGGGTGAGCCGGTTAGTCTTCATTCAGTCTTCGTAATCAATCAGTCTGGTTTTATGCAAAATTGTGTTGTGTGAAGAAAGAGCTACCAGGCAAGTAGGAGACCTAGGCTGTGCTGCAGGAATGTTTGCCTTTTTAATTTAGGACCATAAAAAGCGGATTGGCCCTTTGTATAAGGACTCCATTTTGCGGCTTTAGGTCGATTTAACATTTCCCTTGTAACTCTGTCACCCAGACTTGTAACTGGATCTACATGGATGTAGCTGAGTAACCATGAGTAACCGTGGCTATTGCCATTGGAGTCTTCTGGCACAGCACTGGCAATTGGTGTTTGTCTCTCTAGATCTGAGTGCAGGGTTGGATACCTTAGGCTTAATTTTAACTTCAGATTAATATGCAATTAAAAATGCTCCTGATGATTTAATATTCAACAAACTTTCTGACCAAATAATTCAGTTTCATGTTTGTATAGGTGACTACTTATCTCTTACTAAATCATTGCACAGGTTTTTTTTCCTGTAATAGGTGTTTTGTTTGGGATGGGTAAGAGGACAGATACAGGATCTAAAAAAAATAAGGATTTTTAAGTGTCTAGCAGGCTGCTAATTTTCAGGAATTATTTTTCATGCAATCCTAAAAAGAGGGGAGGTCACTAACAGCATTTGCTGGTTTATGTATAGCTAGCAGTTTGCTATCTCAGTTGTTTACAACCCTTGCATTTTGCCTGATGTTTTCTCTTAACGACATATTCACGAAAAATCAGCTTTGTGCTTGTAAGTTCCAGATAAGACTGTATCTAGCAGCTTCCTAAAGTAGCACAAACCGTGGTGCATAGCTGTCAGTTTCCCAATAGACTTTTTTTAGTCTGCAATGTTTTAGAAATGGTTAATGCATATATTTTATTTTTTTTTACGATGCCTCGGTGATGTACCTTTGCCCCCATGCAGTTACTACAGCTGTAGCTCTGTTCGGTACACAGACTGTGCTGGAGGGGTAAAATAAGACTGCCTGATTTTTTAGTGCAGGAAGTTCGAGACATCAGTGAACGATGAACTGTTAGAAAGCAGGATGGCTTTATGGGTAAAGTTGATTCCTAGTTCTGTCTGTAATAAAGTTCCTATGGGGTGCGTGTCCTGATGTTGAGAATTGAAATTCAGGATATGATTTCTGGAAGTGTTGTGTACTTGGCACAGTATCATTTGAAATCGAATGACATTTTGAACAAATAAGACACTGTATTTTAAAAAAATATTTTTGGGAAAAAAAATGAAATCTTAAGTGTGTATGCTAGGAAATAGCGGGGGCTGCACACTGATCGAGGGGATAGATTTTTCTCAAATTCTGCATTGTCTGCTGCATGAGCTGAGAAAAATCTACAGTTATATAGAGGAGCTTTTTTGTGTTATGACTAATGATTCTGTTCTGATGATGCGTGTGTAGAAATGACAGTTAAAATGTGAGAATGAAAATAGCCTGTTGAAACTTTGCTTTTCCTGCAACTTTGCCAATTGTATGGCAAGTATTAGACAGCCTCAGGTATAGGTGTTGCTAATAGGTATAGGTGTTGCTAATAGGTCTTTCTTGTAAGAAAAATTGCTTTGTTTTGTTCGGACTGCATTCAGAATTCATTTTATGTTGAACATCTTCAAGTATTTCAGCTAAGCGAAACAATTAAAGTTGCTTAAAATCCAGCGTGTTTCTTCCTGTGGATGAAGTAAGTCCTGAGTGCTAGGAGATTTGCTGCTCTGGTATTTTAAACCCCTCCTGATTCCAGACGTCAACATTTTATAAATATTTCTACAGTTCAGACATTTTAAAAATAAGTCGAGATGACTTAATCCACTCTCAGGCTTGCTTTCTGGGAGGAAGGCTGTAAAGGGTGGTCAAAATAAACATGCACTAAGAAATTGTTAAACTTGCAATGTCAAGTAACTTGAGCAAGAGCTTGAAAAATTTTGAAGTCCTAGTCTGAATGTGTTGATGCAGTTCCCAACTGTGTGCGTAAATGTTTCCGTTCCTCCTCTCAAAGAGGACATTGCCATTAGGGTACAGATCAAACACTTTCTTGGGGCAGGGGGACACCCAAATCAGTGGTGAAGGTGGCCATCCATCGTGTGTGGGATGCCTGCTTCGTTGGTGACAGAAGTTGGAAGGTATTTGGAGAAATTGCCGGGAGTTAGAGAGGGTCTTGTGGCCGATCCTTCAATATTGCTGCTGATAGTTTTATCTTTAACTTGTGCTGTAGAGTTCCTGTCTAATTTTAAGCCAATTATTTTAAACCGTGCTTCTCAGAAGTGGTTGCTGACTGCGTGCCTATTTTTGGTTTTCGAAGACGGGAGCCTGAGTTGCAGCGGTGCAATCGCAATTGTAACTGAAAGCAGGTTTTGCAAACCTGGAGTCTTTGCAAGCAAGGCTCAGTGGTGCTCACCTGCATCAGGTGTCCAATCTGATTATACAAACAAAGTCAAGTCTGGTTTCTAGGTGGGGTTAAATAATATGTGGAAGGTAAGTCATATGCCTGTAGAGTCTGAAATCATGGGAAAAAGGGGGAGTGTCTGTGTGGCGACCTGAGCACCATCCCTTCCATGAAATGAATGAGGGTGTTAGTTGCCTTCCCCCCCCCTTAATTTTGTATGCAGTGCCTCAGCAGCTGAAGGTTTGGTAAGCCTGCTGTCTGTCCTGCTCTCCAGAACCTGCCTGTGGATCTTCATCCAGCCCCTCATAACCTGTGATGACAGGGGGGTCCATGCAAGAGCCTCACGTAGCACAAAGCATGCTAATCGTGTAATATGTGGTGGCTTTTTGGGGTGGATCAGTTCTTCCCTCGGTGCTCAGCACACCCTGGGCAAGCACATCCACGCCAGGCAGGGAGTACAGGGAAGAGGGTGGGCGCTGGGACTTCAGGATGGCTCCAAATGCCTTTGAATCACATATTCGGTAGAAAGGGAGACCCAAGGGCTGCTGGGGCTTTCTTAAGTCCCTCTTCCTCCTCCACCCCTCAGCTTGTGTGCCAGTGCTGTAGGCTCCTTGGACAATAAAACGTATTGGGGTGACAGAAGGCGTACGGGCATGTAAGTTGTTGTTGTTGGCTTGTGGCTTTTTGACTGCGGTAAAGTCTAGCTTAAGAGTTACTTTTCCTTGAGACACTTCCTCTCAGTTGATGCTTGGTGTTGCCTTTTAGATTCAAATTGTTCCTTTCTTTTGTTTCAGGATGCAAGGAAAGCATGTAGTGACACAACTCTTGCTCAGGTACGGTCTTGATTCTGTGTATAGGCTGTTACTTGATAGCTAAAAAAATGAAAATCCCTACAATTTATGACTGTAACATGTTCCTGTTTAGTAACTGACAGAATAAAGTGAAAGAAGCCTTTGGGAATGTACTGTGTATTTATACAGTTCTTTGAAACAAAACAACCCCACCAAAAACCCAAACAAACAAACCAGAAAAAAACCACAACCACTCAAAAAACCCCCACCATCATAATGGGTCCTGCTTCCAGTTTACCTTTGAAATAGAGTGTGTTTATTGTGTTTAGTATATTTGGAAAGACTTCAATAAATGTCATGTAACTATTTTGGAAACAAAAGTATTTTGCAGTTAAAGTTCTGCCATGCTTTAAAAAGTAACAGCGCAGTAAATATTGGAGGATTTTCTTCCACTGATTTTAATTAGAAAACTTTCAGATTTGATAATCTGAAATAGCCTCAGTATTACATGGTATTATTTAAAAAAAAAAAACCCTCTATGAAGTTTCAGGTATAGGCGTTGTGAAGCGTGTTGGTGTAGCATCTGTAAAATCTGTTTCCCTCAGTGTTGGCACAGACGTAATCCGGGGTTGTACGCTAGTATCTTTTTTTTTTTTTTTTTTTTAAGGTTGCATGCCAGAACAGATTATTTTCTATCAAAGTTCAAATGTATTTAGTTATCTTGTATATTAAAAATAGTTCTCAGTATCTTGGTGGTTTGTTTTATTTATTTTTTTTTTTTTTTTTTTTTTTTAAGGTTGCATGCCAGAACAGATTATTTTCTATCAAAGTTCAAATGTATTTAGTTATCTTGTATATTAAAAATAGTTCTCAGTATCTTGGTGGTTTGTTTTATTTATTTTTAGATCACAACAAGTCTGGACTCAGTGGGTCGAATCCAAATGCGAACAAGGCGTACGCTTAGAGGTCACTTAGCCAAAATCTATGCTATGCACTGGGGATCTGACTCAAGGTTTGTACAAGGGATCCTTAAGCCTGCAGTTTAAGGGTTAGAGATCAGATTGTCGGCTTCAGAATTAGCGCCCGGTTTGGGGAGCCATGTGGTGTGGCATTGCTGCCCTTGCAGGGGGATCGCAGACCACGACTGTGGTGGGGGTTTTGCCTTTAGTTATAGTTTGCCTTTTTAAAACCAGTGAGGATTTAGAGAGGCCTTGATTGAAAGGAGAGGTACTCTGCTTGGTCTTACCACAGACGTTTTGCCTTTCCCTTCTTTTAGTTTTAACTAAGTTCTTTGAGCCTATTTAAGCAGAGGAGGGTATGTGGTGAGGCGTATTTTTGGAATGATGGATATTGTATTTCCCAAGGTGTTGGATGATTATGTAACGCCTGTGATAACAAAGATTTGAAAATTGTATGGACAAATTTTATTTCACTGGCCAAAAGATCCTTTTGTACGTAGCAGGAAAAGTTACTTGGCTTCTAGGACGGAGTTTTGTTACACTGCCTTTGGAGCGACTGATGGTCAGATCTTAACAGTGCCTCATGGTCTGCTCTCTCACGTAGTCCAGACATACATACATCTAGGACCTGCTCTCAAAATAAGGTTTATTTTCCCCTAAATTTCTTGTTTGTTTTTACGTAGCTGCGTAGTTACAATATTAGCATATGAAAAATAAAAGCAGCTGCGGAGAGAGTTCATAAAACGTGTTTTCAGTAAGCTGTTTGGTTTTGTACATTGTTAATCATGAGTCCCCATGGATGCGCGATTCTTCAGCCAGGTAATACACAGATCTTGGCAGATTTTTTTTTCAACAAATCCGCCCTCTTCTCCTCCCCCATCCCACCCCCACCCTCCAAAAGAAAAGAAGAAGGTAACAAATTACGAAATTCCTGAATCACTTGGTAATCATGCATGATGTATGTCTATTTTGAGATTTTTTTGTTTGTTTTATATTAACATTTTATTTTGTGTTTATATTTAGGCTACTAGTCAGTGCTTCTCAAGATGGAAAATTAATTATCTGGGATAGTTATACAACAAATAAGGTAGAGTTATTTATAATACATATCAAGAATTCATGCATAATTTGTGTGTTTGAGGGGGTTTGTGTCTATTTCTGTGGTTGCAAGGCAGAAATGAAAAGCAGCAGTCTAATTCAGACCATCTTTTTTTCTTTCATGATGAGCTGATCACTAGCGATACGTTGTAGGTTCTGTCTCAGAGGCAATAGTTCTAGGTAATACCTAACATTCTCGCTGTAATTTGTTAGTGCAGCAGCTTGTAGTTCCTGCTCTGTACGGTGTTGCTTCTGAAACCAATTTGGTTTTAAATTGTAAAAATACACAACCTCAGAATTTACAAGAGTGCTTTGCTTTTGAGGGCAGCGAATGGAGGAGGGAAAAAAGGAAGGGAAAAAAATCCCCAAAGTGTTAAATGAGAAAAGCTTAGGCAGAGTGTGGAGTGGTGATCAGCTTCTGTAAACCGCCCAGTCTCCATGGGTACAGCCATCCCTTTTAATAACCTGTAGTTCAGAGGTGTAGAAGAATTGGACAAAGAAATCTAAGTAGAATAAACAAATGTGGTAAATGTTTAAGTTTGGGATATCTTTGCTGTTAAATGATGTTGTACTGAAGTTCTGTGTATCTACCCTGGAGACTACTGGTATTTTTCATCCTACTCTGTGTGTGTGTACAGATAGGAAATGGGTTGTAGCGTGTTGTAAAATCAAAATACTGAAACGTGCGATACACAATCTACTTGGTGTGTGTGTTTGATCTGCTGTAATCCATTAACTGATACGAGTGACCTCAGTGAAAAATGAAAGCGGACGTGTGGCGTAGCGCTGATGAGCTCTGTCTCTCCCAAGATGCACGCCATTCCTCTGCGATCCTCCTGGGTGATGACTTGCGCCTACGCACCGTCTGGAAACTACGTTGCCTGCGGTGGATTGGACAACATCTGTTCCATCTACAACTTAAAAACCAGAGAGGGCAACGTGAGAGTGAGCCGAGAGCTGCCGGGGCATACAGGTCAGCCACTTTCTTGCTTCAGCTTTGGGTTTTTATTGCGCCAAGGGGAACGGTCTCGCCTCGAGGTGTGTTGTGAACTGCGAAATAGTTCTGTTGGTTGCAGACTAGCTGTGGGAGAACGTTAGCCACTGCTTGTGGACTTTAAACTTCAGCTGTTACTCCTGGGTCTGAAACAAAGATAACTGTTTTGTTTTTAGGATACTTGTCCTGTTGTCGCTTTCTAGATGACAACCAAATTGTCACCAGCTCAGGAGACACCACTTGGTGAGTTTTTGAGCTCTGTGGGCCTTTTTCTTTTTTCTCTTCCTTTTTTTTTTTTTTTTCCTTTTTTTCCTTTTCCTTTGTCTTTCTCCTCTCCAATGCCTTAATTTGTATTTAAAACTTAAACTCTCAAATAACCACATACATTGTGTTAATGTTGTCACTTTATCTGCAGCGCTTTGTGGGATATTGAAACTGGTCAACAGACCACCACATTCACTGGGCACACTGGCGATGTGATGAGTCTCTCTCTAAGTCCAGATATGAGGACTTTTGTTTCGGGTGCCTGTGATGCCTCCTCGAAGCTTTGGGATATTCGAGATGGAATGTGCAGGCAGTCGTTCACAGGGCATGTGTCAGATATTAATGCAGTTTGTGTAAGTGATCATTTGTATTTCCACGTGGGAAGAAAGGGGGAGGATAAAAGCTATCGTTGCATGAATTCAGCTTGTAGTCTGCTGGGTTACCTTGATTTAAAGTCAATTGCTTTGTTAGGGTAGAGACTGTTAAACTGTAGAAGGTTGTCTGATAACTCACAATCTAGTTTGTAACAATTACTATTATAATGAAGTGTTCTTGGACTAGTTGCAGCTGTGTTTTTGTTCAGTAACTGAGACCTTACTTTTTTTAAGAAGCAAAGAATGGAGGAGGGAAACTTTTTGCAGTGTGGCAATGTGTTAAAAACTGAAAATTGTAGATGAATGCAATACACTGAGAGGGAGCAAAATAGCTAAGCATCCCCATCTTAAAGTGGTTTTTTGTTGAACGAAAGCATACTTGATATTTTCTGTTGAAAAGAGCTTCCAGCGAAATATTCTGGAAGGCAAAGTTAAAATCAGAACTTTGGTTGAATATTCATCCCTGGAATAATTTTGTAATATTTATAAACTGGATTATATTTCCTGTCATAGTAACACTATGTTCTGATCTGCAAGATACAAGCTCTGATAAATAGGGAATGAAATCTTAAGTCTAAGCTGCATCTGTTTTTGATAAACATGAAAAATCATTAAGGCTGAGAAAATACCAAGAGCATGACCAGTAGAAAAATACAGTTCCTATACTTAGACCTGAATCCTGAGATGCGCTGAGCTCTTTTCGTTCCCATTTCAATCAATACGGCTGTTGTGAGAATGACTCTGATTTGGAGTAGGTTTTTTTGGAAATGGAATTGCTTGCTTGCAGTCTTTTGGCTGAGCCAAGCTGGCTGACCAGCTCCGGTTGGAACATGGTGTGCCACTTGCCCCGGGTCGTCCTGGCCCCCAGCCAGGATGCACAGAACTGCACTTTGCTTCGTTCCGTAGGGTTAGTCGCGTCCCCTTTGACTCCTCTTATGTGGGAGCTGTCTGGGTAAAACTCCAGTCGCTCAGGGGTTACCAGTACTGTTCTAGAAGTGGTTTGTGGCATGCCTGTGTATATGCAGTGTTTTTAACGTGCAGATTTTTTTTTTTTTTTTTCAAATAAATCATTCTGCCTTTTATCTGGTCACCCTGGCAAAATGATCCTGTGATGTTTTTGAAATAATGCGTGAAAAATGTATTTTTCTGGTGTCAAACTCCTGTCTCTTTTAATTAAAACTTCCAGTTTTTCCCTAACGGACATGCATTTGCCACTGGATCTGATGATGCCACTTGCCGACTCTTCGACCTACGTGCAGATCAGGAATTAATGATGTATTCGCACGACAACATCATCTGCGGGATCACTTCTGTAGCCTTCTCCAAAAGCGGTCGCCTCTTGCTAGCAGGTTACGATGACTTCAACTGCAACGTGTGGGATACTCTGAAAGGGGAGAGAGCAGGTGAGTGCGCCTCGCCGCCGTGAGCTGCAGCTTCCCATTGCCCTCGCAGAAGATGGGCGCTGCAAACCTGTGCAACACGCAGAGCCGGTTCGTTGCCTGTGCTGTTGCTGATGGTACGCAGTCTGCCTGCTTTCTTCTAACGCTGTTTTCTTTTGGAATGGCATCCTTTTATTTTATTGCATTTGGCTGTATCTTCCAGCTGTTACGCTGCATTACAGTTTCATCTATGTGATGGGTGGAGTAACTGCTCCAGTCAGTGAAACACGGCTGTTCTTCCCTGCTGGCCATTGCATATCTGTGAGCTGGCAGACACCGGCTCTTGAGGCTACGGACCAGCCTCCCACATTATGTTATGTCCACAGAAAGCTTATTTCACTGGAGCACGTGAAATTTAGTAATACAAAATTACACATTTGTATTGACTTTTTCACCCATTGGGGCAGTAATTCAGATGGCAGTAAGTTACAGTAGTCTCATTGCTTTGGGGACCATCATTTCCCGCTGCTGGGAGAGAAGGGAGGTGGGCACTTGCAGTCCTTCCCTCAGTCACTTCTGTCGGGATAGACAGTGTGTAGCATGGCTACGTCTTTCGCACTTTGCACAGTGATCTAAATTATGGGGCCTGGTTCTGCTCTGCACCTTGATTCTGCTGTTCAGCCTGAAAATAACTCCTTTCCTCAAGGGATGTGGACAGGCTGGGTTTTAGTGGACCTGGATGTGGTACCTTGGGAGAGCAGACGAGTTTAGGAATGGGTGGAAGGAAAGCGAAAACAGAGCCGGAAGAGGCAGGGTACAGTGCTGCTCTTCCAGTAGTCGGACACCATATGTGGGGGATTCCTAATCCTTAGGGTTTGCTTGAAGTAGGGAAACGTGAGGTAGTTCCTGTATCCAGGGCATTGTCAGAAGACATCACATGTGATTTTGGAAGTGCTTGAGGGCCGAAATTGTGGACAGCATTGCTGAAAGCAGGGTTCCTGTATCCAGGGCATTGTCAGAAGACATCACGTGTGATTTTGGAAGTGCTTGAGGGCCAAAACACCAGTGGAGAGCCTGATTAGGGATGAGGAGGTCTTTGGGGCAGAAAGGAGAAGTTGTAAGGGCAGAGAGAAAAACAGAGGCAATATTGTGTGTACGTATTTTTAAAACCTCGTTGTTGAGTTTCTTGATGTGGCTGTTGTGATGTGTGTGGTTCTTCAGGGTAAAGGCAAAACGGACGCTTGGGTCTTGCCTTACATCTTTTTTACCCGGGAGAGCAGAGCGACGGCTGAAGTCCTTGACGTCCTGTGAATATTAACTTTCATTGCTTCTTCTTTTCCAGGTGTCCTTGCTGGCCATGACAACCGTGTCAGCTGTTTAGGTGTCACTGATGACGGCATGGCTGTAGCTACAGGGTCTTGGGACAGTTTTCTCAGAATCTGGAATTAACTGGGAGCCAAACATGTACATTCTCCATTTGAGATCTGGAGAGATCAATGCTGCAGCCTATAGCTGTGAAATAACATTTCTACCTTGTATTTGCAGGTGAAGTTTTTCTATTCACTGATTATTACACAAAAAGGCTTTCTGTAAACTAGAAAAAAAATCAAGTGAAGAAACAGGGGAGGGGGGAAGAAATCACTGACTTTTTAAAAGGGGCCAGCACACATAATCATGGTGACCGACAAACTAAGAGCCAGTCTTTTTGTTTTTGGTGGTTTGGTTCGATTGTCCTTGAAGGGTTTTTGCTTGTGCTCAGTCTGCTAAATCCTGTACTTTTTTTTGTACATAACAGAAATATACACATTATAGCAGCCAATCATGTAACATTTGTCTGTATGTAAAGAAATATGTTTGCATTTTTTAAGGAACTACATTTATAGCTTTGCTTTTAACCCGAGATGTCACTTCTGAGTTTTGTAGTGGATGAACTAGATTGCTGTTTTAAACGTTTTGTGAATTTACTGTAGATAAAGTGAAGCCAATGGTATGTATGTGTTTTTATAATGGAAGGCATTTGAATTTATTTTTTTGTTTTAAAGGCCCTGGAGACTCCCAGTTAATACCTACCGCCTTACTCGCTCACTTCTTGACCTGCTTGCCTATTTTTAATCGTGGGGGTTCTTCCTTCAAGCCAGTGGTTCCTGGTTCATCCATTGGCAGTCACGGCCTCCAAATACCAAGGAGTTAATGCCAGGCAGATTTGCAACAGCAGCAAAAATAATTAAAAAAAAAAAAAAACAAACCAAAAAAAAAAACCCCACCTAAAAAATCTGGTTCCAGAAGTTTTAGCTTCCTTACTGCAGCTTTTTGCATCAGCTCTTCCGCGCAGTCCTTGGCTGTGGAAGCCGAGGACCGGCATTGCTGTCGGGAAGTGGCTGAGTGCTTTTCCTTTGGAGAGTTCAGCTCCGACTGCATGAGGTAGTTTTGGCCCCTCAGACTCTAGCTGATTACTTGCACTAACACAATGATTTGGCGTGATGCTCGGTGCGCAGAAAGCAGTGGATTTGCAAAGCTTGCTCAATTGCCACGATAAACCGAGACGTTCGGGAGGGCTTTGCTTAGATTCCTAAAGACGATTTAAAGGTGCAGGTAATCGCCTGTAACCCCCCTCCTCGTTAGGGGCTTGCCAAAGCAGACCACAACCAAAAGCGCTCGCTGTCAGTTACGTGCAGTGTGAATTATAAAAGGAATTGTGTAACGTAGGATGAACCAAATAACCTTGCTTACTGGCATGACCCTTCAAACGGCCGCGCTGCAGACCGAGCGACTCGCTTGTTCTCCTCTGGTCCCAGAGGGCTGTTCCACGGCGGCTTTATCTCGCCGCGACTTGTTCTGCAGCTCTGGCACTGTAAATAGCCGTTCCCTCTCCTGTTCCTGATTCCAGTCTGATTTTGATGTCAGCTGCTTATAAATGATAGGTTCTGATCAAGTACAGTCGAGTGTAGATACAGGAAAATCAAGGGACCGATGCCCATTTGAAACTGCCCGGGAAGGCTGCTTAGCTGCGTGGTGCCTGGCCGCGTGCCTGCGCTCGCGGCGGATGCTCTCCGGGGAATCTGAACGGCTCTGCCCCTTCTGGAGAGGGGAACCGAGTCTATTGGCTTCTCTTAAGTGACTTCTTTTAAAGATAATGTCGATTTTAAATCGTCAGGTTGGAAGATGGTAATGTTACTCTGCCCCCATCTGAAGTTGCGGGGAGCCTGGGTGTCTCTGGGTCGGGTAGAGAATCCAAGTGCCCGGTGTCTCCTGATACACCGAGCCGGCGCTGGGGCCAGGATGACTATTTGTCCACTTGCTGACACGTGTAATCCTCAATTTCCGTACTTCCAGACTGTGCCTGTACACGTGCCATGTCTGTAACGGTGAAGGTGCCAATAAAAGTGCCAGTCAATCACAGTAAGTTCACTTGTCAAACAAGAAAAAGGCACACCTTGGGCTGGAGAAGCGCGCATGTACTGACAGCAGAGCGCGGAGTAGGACCAAAATCGGGCTATGGTGTACGTCACGGGAATTCCTCGGCATTTTGCTTTCTGGTCTGTCTGCAGTAACAACCGTTACGGAATTCTCGTTACTCTCTTAAGCGAGCAGCTCTTTGGGATCTTGCAGACTTGATTTATTTTTTTTTAGTGGTGCACTTGGTTATTTTTTTCTTTTTTTTAACTCACAGCTGCCTTGAGTGAACCATTCTGGAAATTTGTTACTAAGGAATTTTAAGAAAACATTCTTTTTCTAAAAATTTTTTTTCCGTAGACGTGTGTTTTGAACCAATTTCCTAGTCAACACTTTGCGAAGACAGGTGCCATTTTTACCTTCTGGTATTAAAACCAGTTTCTACTTGCACAACTCCAAAAACGATTTTACAAATGTATAGAACTGTTCTTAAAAGTTCAGGTAGACCGGGACCGCGGTATCGGCGCTCGTCCAGGTGTCACTGCAAGCGATGTCGCTGTCACTGCTCGATGGGCGGCTGTCCCTCGGCTTCAGCTGCTTTTACTATGAACGAGAAGGGATGGCAGCCCAGGGCGCTGCCGGGCTCCCCGCGCTGCGGGCCCCGGGGCGGCTCCTTCCCTTCCACGGAACCTGGGAGAAGCCCGAGCCCAGCGGGGGAAGCGGTGCCTGACGCTTGCGACAGATCCTGCCAGGGCGATGGTCGCTGTTCTGAGTACGCTCCTGGAGATGGTTCAGATATTTTACTTTATTTTTTTTTTTAAGCCTACAGATGTAATGGAACACCTTGTTATTATATGAGGCCACATCACGAACTCGCACAGGCTGCGGTGTTTCCTTTTTTAAACAGCTATGGGTGCCCATTCAAGACCGATGCCCTTACTGAGATGGACGCGGTTTTAATGGTAAAAGCTCAAACGCCTCCTAATACGAGGGAGGAAATAAAGCGACCCTTCTTAGGTTTCTCTTAAAAGGTTTTGTTCCTGGCTTTGAATCGCAGAGCAGGCGGTGTGTGCCTATAGCTTCACGTGGGCGCAAGCAGGCAGCGCGTGCGACTGCTGACCGTGCCCTGCGACGGCACGCGCGCCGCTTCCGCGGCAGATTGGGCCGCGCTGGCGGGGACGTCTGAACCGGGCTTTAGGAGCTCGTTGCCAGCTCCGTCCTTCTCTGAATTTCAGATGACTCGTGTGATGATGGCAATGGCATCGCTAAGAGCGCTGTGCCAAAGCGGCCGCGCGCTCCCTTGTTCCCAGCCTCTCTTCTAAAAAGCCACGCGGTTACGGCGGGGCAAGCGGAGCCGTGTGCGTTCCGGGACGAGGTTCGCTGCGTTCAGGGACAGGGTTTGTGTCGGCGTTTTCTGCTGTTGCTGTGACGTTGCCGTAGCGCGCACTGGTCAGGCGAGCGCCCAGCTTGGGCTCGTTCCCGCGCGGACTCGCACGCCCGTTTGTTTGCGGTAGAGACATGGGTTGAGATTCCGGAAGGCACAGAGAGCTGCTGCGAGGCATCTGCCCGTGTCTGCTCGCGGGCTCCCCTCCCGCGGGCCTGGCTCCGGCTGTCTCCAGACCGTTTCGGTTTTTGTGGTGGGTTTTTTTGTGGTTTTTTTTCCCCCCTCCAGACATCGCTGTCCTCCACCTTGCTCAGCCGCAGCTCCGGCGCAGTCGCTGGCAGAGCCGATAGTTCAGCGCCTTGACAACACTCGCTGCCGTTTGCCATGGAACGCGGATTAACTAGGCTTCCCCCCCTGCCTAAGGAGAGGGTCTGACCTCGCCTCGGCAAAGCCGAACTGATGTAAGCGCTGGTCCCGGTGTGCTTGCTGTGATGCATGGGTTGGAAATAGTTAACTCCTTCCTTCAGTTAGTGCAACGCTCGTCCCACAATGACGCTCACATCACTTTGGGGTGGAATGAAACCATTGTGAAAACATTCCGGGAGCGCTGCGTCCTCCTCCCTCCTCCTCTTCCAGGCCGCCGTCACCTCCACTAGGTTTAGTGCTGTGCTTTCAGATGTTGGTGAGAGTCGTTGGCTAATTCAGCTCGTTGGTATAAATGGTCGTGTAGCAGAATGACTGATTTTTGAGATAGCATTTCCTGTAAAAGTACTTAAGCATGGGTTGGTGGTGCCCTGCGTACCCGGGCGCGCATGCTGGTGAGGCGCCTTCCCGCCCGGCAGAGGCACCGCGAGCCTTTTTTATCCAATTGCTGGTTATGTAAAATACATGCAGGCTGTTACTGCAGTGTTGTTATGGTAAATGTGTGAACAGTGTTACTAATTGATATAACTGATAACCGATTACATGTGCCTGACATTCTTATACCACACAGTATGTTTAGGTTTTAACTGATACGGACTTCGGTGGAGTAGTCTTAGATATTTCAAGCCTTTGTTTTACTTACACAATGGTGCTCTATTTGTGGGTTTGGTTTTTTTTTTTCCTCTCCTTTTTTTTTTAAAAAAAAAAAAAAAAAATAAAAGCATCTGAACACTTGTAGTACATATTACATCCAAAGGAGTCCAAAACAAAGCGCTTCTACACCTGCTTGACTTTCATTGGCCTTCAGTTCCCAGCGTTTCCCAGCAGCGAGGGTTCCTCTTCTGTTTGATTTTTCTTTTTTAAACTTGTTGCTGACTACTTTGGAAAACT